CTCCACCAAAACGACCCTTTCAGGTCGTGGTACATCTTGGTGCTGCCGGGGTACGCTAAATAGGGTGCACTGTGATCCTCGGTCAGGATCTCCTTCCTCAGGGCCTCGACATTCAGCACAACTAGTCTTCCGTTATACTTCAAGGCACCATCCGCGCCTCGGTAAAACCCCTCCACGCCCTCGGCAACAACCTTCGCCCTCATGGAACGGACGAACTCATCAACGGACTGATCTCTCCGAACTCGATCTCGGAGCATGGGCCACACTCTCATCGACCGAACACCTTCTACTACAGGCATCGTAGGAAGTGACTCGATGACGTCTAACTGCATCCGAGCAAACTCTCGAAGGAGCTGACTATGCTGGGTGATCATGCAAGTCAACTCGCCCCTCGCCTTTCGGCTAAGGGCATCGGCTACTACGTTCGCCTTCCCCGGATGATACTGAATGGTGCAATCATAATCCTTCACTAGCTCCAACCATCGCCTCTGGCGCATGTTGAGCTCCTTCTGCGTGAAGATATACTGCAAGCTCTTGTGATCGGTGTAGATCTCACACCGACCACCATACAAATAGTGCCTCCATATCTTGAGTGCGTGAACAACGGCTGCCAACTCAAGATCGTGAGTCGGGTAGTTCTCCTCGTGGGGCTTCAGCTGCCGCGAAGCGTATGCGACAACCTTGCCCTCCTGCATCAGCACGCACCCAAGTCCCTGCTTCGAAGCATCACTGTAGATAGTGAAACTCCGTGTAGGGTCCGGTATAGTCAGCACGGGCGCTGTAGTCAACCTCTCCTTGAGCTCCTGAAAGCTCGACTCATAGCGACGACTCCACTCAAACTTCGTCCCTTTCCTCGTCAAACGTGTCAAGGGTAGGGCTATCTTCGAGAACGCCTCGATGAACCTCATGTAGTAGCCTGCTAACCCGAGAAAACTCTGTATCTCGGTAACAGACCTCGGGGGTGACCAGTTCCTCACTGCCTCGATATTCCCGGGATCGTCCTCAATGCCCTCGGCCGTAACGATGTGACCGAGGAACGCCACTCGATCGAGCCAAAACTCGCACTTCGAGAACTTGGCGTACAGTTTCTCCTGCCTAAGAGTCTCCAACACAATCCTCAAATGCTCCTCGTGCTGGGTTGTGCTCCTCGAGTAGACCAAAATGTCATCTATGAAGACGATGACAAACTGGTCCAAGAATGGGTGGAATACACGGTTCATGAGATCCATGAACACCGCCGGCGCATTGGTCAAGCCGAACGTCATCATGACAAACTCATAGTGACCGTATCGGGTACGAAACGCGGTCTTAGCCACGTCAGAGTCCTTGATCTTCAGCTGGTGGTAGCCCGATCGTAGATCAATTCGAGAAAATACACAGGCGCCCCTCAGCTGGTCAAACAAATCCTCGATCCTGGGGAGTGGATACTTGTTCTTCACCGTCAACCGGTTCAAGTCCCGGTAATCGATGCACATACGCAAAGTCCCGTCCTTCTTCTTCACGAAAAGGAGAGGTGCTCCCCACAGAGAGACGCTCGGTCGGATGAAACCGAGACTCAATAGCTCCTGGATCTGAGCCTTCAGCTCCTTCGGCGCCATACGATACGGTGCCTTCGACACTGGCCTGGCTCCAGGCACCAAGTCGGTCGTGAACTCCACCTGACGACTAGGTGGTCCTCCCGGTAGCTGATCAGGGAAGACGTCCACGAAATCACGCACAATGGGTACATCTCCGGGCATCCGCTCCTCCGAAGTTTCCCCGACTATGCTCACCAGGTATCCCTGGCAATTCCCTCTCTACAAACACTTAGTCGCCTTCGCCATCGAAATGACTCGGGGTAGGGTCCTCGTCTTCGTCCCGAAGAACGTGATACGATCTCCCTCGGCTAAGTGTAGTGTCACCTCTCTATCACGACATCGAATGTCTGCCTGATATCTCTCCAACCAATCCATGCCGAGAATGAGGTCAAAGTCCCTCATCTCGATCACGAACGCATCCACCTCTAAAGTTCTGCCACCAATACTCATACTAAGATCCTCGGCCAAGGAGCTCGTAACTATCTTCCTTCCCGAAGCTAGGCTGATCTCGAGGGGGTCGACAACACTCACTCCTCGGACCCCTATGGCCTCTAGACACTTGCCCGAGACGAACGAATGTGTCGCCCCGGTGTCGAACAACGCAAAGATAGGCACATCACACAAAGAAATCATCCCGAACATGGTACCTGGCTGCTCGGCGGCCTGTGCCTGGTGAAGTGCATAGACGCGTGAAGGTGCTCCCCGTGGTTGGTTCGGGGCCGGCTGACGCTGACCCTGCTGATGCTGAACTCGGTATGGGCAATCCTCCCTCCGTTGTCCTGGCCTCCGGCAATTGAAGCAAATGCCTCGCCCAGCGAGACACTCACCAGGATGGTGGCGTCCACAAGTGGCGCAAATTGGGGCAATCTGCTGAACTGGCTGTACGGCCTGAGCTGGGGCCTGATCCCTCTGTCGGACCCTCCTACCCTGCCGGTCCCTCCCCCTCCTCTTGTTCTGACGCTGTGGCTGCTGGGGAGGAGCCAACTGCGGTGGGACCCGCTGTGGTGGCGGCAGTGCAGGCTGCTGTGCTGGTGGCTGATGAGCTAGCTGGCGGGCGACAGTGCGAGTACGAATGGCCTCCAGTCGGAGACTCTCATCAATCTGCTGAGCCCTAGAAACGGTCTCAGCATAAGTCAGGGCGCCAAGGCCTGTGAGATGGTGGCGAATCTCCCCGCGAAGACCGCCCTTGAAGCGCCTCGCCCTCGTTTCCTCCGTATCAATCAAGTACGGCACGAAGAAGCCGAGGCGAGTGAAGTCTCTCTCATACTCATCGACAGTCCTAGCACCCTGCTCCAGTGCTAAGAACTGCCTCTCCATCCTTTCTCTGTAGTGGGCTGGGTAATACTTCTCCCGGAGGAGCGCCTTCAGACCAGCCCA